TGCCTTTTCAAACCGACCTGGTCTGCTGACAGTTGGACAGCAACACACACACAGATGGATGTTGTCATTAGAACGGAGCTGGAGGATATTGATCAACAATAATATCTTGCCAATTTTGTACATCTCCATGAGCATCCTTTCTTTTTGTTTTCATTTCAATAACAAAACTGTGGGCCTAAAACGGAATAAGCGATTCAGAATAAAGATTTAGAAGTAGATCGTTAATAGTTGAAGCAACATGTCCTGAAATGACACGGCTATCAGCTGACCAGCAGCTACACGTGTGGACGGATGCAAAGCATTAATTTTAAGTACTAAAACATATCTAACTTTTTCACAACAAAGAGAGAGAACATAAATGTCAAATTAAAATTTTATTAAATCACATAACATGAAAGCTACTAAAATCCAAATATTGATTTTAATATATTTGAAAATTTCCTTCTAAACATGTCAGAAAAAATAACAAACTTCAAATCAGCGTTCACAAGTCAAGTATCAGAATGACTGAAATCTCTTTAATAAATCATAGAAATGTTTGTAGGCTATTAGAGAATAACTCTGTAATATTTAATAACTTTATCTAAGTCCTACTGAACCAAAAGATACACAAAATCTAAAAATATATTCTTGAAATATTTGTTTCATTTTAATAATAAAAATTAAAAAACATTTACTTTACAAATACACTAAACATATACATACTCTATAGTTTATCTGTCAGTTGAATCGATCTCTCACTTTTCTCAGGTTTCGGCGTGTTTTTGGGTCTGTGTGGCCAACGGGATCTTTGGCTCTATGTTTTACACTGAGAGCTTTGAGCAACGTGCCTCCACCACACATCTGCTGCTACCGGCTCATCCCTAAGCTGCACGGCGCACCTGCACTTTGACATGTTGTAAACAACTGCAGAGCCTGGGGAAGACGGGATAAGAGCGGTTAAACGCTGTGGTTTTCCATACATCGGACCAGTTAGTCTTGATTCTACCATGTTCATCTGCTAAATAGGATGAAACGCGGACATTTTCATCAATCTATAAATGCTCCGCAGATTCCAGGGAAGACCGTGAAAGCGTACGTGTCCGGAAAAAGGAACTTTTGGCCACCTTAGTGAATGGAATAATAATAGCGGGATAATCCTGGAATGACCAGAGAACATGAAGTGACAACTTTTTTTTACTGTGGTGGTGGTCTGTCATAAAGGGATCTCCGACCGGTGATCAAAATCTAAAGATAATCGGTGTCTATGTTTGACATTTATGACCACATCTGACACACATATTTAAGTTTGTAGAACAAGCGTGTGATAAATGACTTACTGCTGGAAACCGCTGGCTTTTTGATTCCCGCCTCCTGTGAGCCGGCGGGCTGCTGTGAAGCTGTGAGCGGGGCAAAGCCGGCAGCCCCGCCCGTTGGAAACAGCACGTGTGGACCGGCCGTACCAACTTGAGGAATTGGGGGGGGGGCTATAATTTCTCAACAATTAAAAACACATTGTTTTGTATTTTCAGAATAACTTTTACGTTGTGGTTTTAGAAGACAATACAGGTTTACTGATAGCATTTATGTGTTTACAATAACTTTTGTTGGGGGGGGGGGACAACTTTGTGTGAGGGGGGGACGCGTCCCCCCCCGTCCCCCCTGGGATCTCCGCCTATGGGCTGCACAATATATCGTAAAATTATCGTCATCTCGATAACAGGACGTGCGATAGGCCCATCGCAAAGCACGTCAAAAACAGCGATAAATGTTTGGTTCAAACATTTCCATCCATGTCATACATCACCTTTTTGTAAACCAGCTCTGTTTTTTATGCGGAAGTATTATTTGGCCAATCAAATGTAGCCCTTCTGATATGCGGCCAATCAGATGGGTCCGTTCACGTAATACGCCCGCCCCCTACGTAGACCCTTTTGAAAAGCATCACCCGAACTGAGATAGCGGCGCCGTTCCCTTGTTCGTCATGCTGGCTCAGAGCAACGAACGCACTTTGTGCTGAGGTTTCTGGAATCAGCGCTGCTTTCAAACGAGAACGTGAGTCCGCTCGGTGTCGTTAAGCAGCTGATAATAACCGGGCTGACTCCGACACGTGCCGGTGAACCAACCCACCTTCATGTCGCTAGTGTTCCACCGGGTGATGGTGTTAGCCCCAGGCTCCGGTTAGCTTCCAGCTAAAAGGCTACAGCAGCACTCTCCTCCCAGTCCCACCCTGCTAAAGAGGGCCTGGAAAAGTTCCCCCACACATCAAAGTGATTTTTCCTTTATGAGCTTTTATAACCTTGTTAATCAGGATAGTTGATTTGCTGCTGCACATAAACTGTCAGTCAGAAGCTCTGCTAGCCGCTTATCTTAGAGGAGCTAGTTCAATTTGTTAGCTTGTTATCAGAATCATAGTTGCAGTTTCATCATCTGAGCTGCTTTTTAAGATCTAGGTAAACTTGTTTGATTTGGGGTTAAAAACAAACGTTTTCACATATTTTCCATGTAGTTTTTTGCCAGTTCCTCTTCTGAAAGGTAGACGATTGTTTTTCTCTTTCCCTCAGAAAATCTTAATATTCTCCTAGTTTGGCCCAGCACAGTTCACTTCCCAGTTACAGCAACAGCCTTATATCATAACCACATAAGTGGAGAAAAATGCTCAGTAGCAATGAGAGAATTTGCTGTTGTATTTAAGTGATGTTAACTATTATTTAACATTTAAACTTATTTTCTGATTATTTTTTTTATTCAATAAACCCTGGTAAGGGATGTTTTTCTGTATTTGGAGCATCAGAAAAAGTTTTATGGTGGAGGTGATGTTTTAAAGTCACTGAGAAACTGCATGCATGCAGTTTGTTGTTTTGCTGCTAATACAGTAGCAGGTGCAGCTGCTAATACAGTAGCTGCTAATGCAGTAGCGGGTGCAGCTGCTAATACAGTAGCGGGTGCAGCTGCTAATACAGTAGCGGGTGCAGCTGCTAATACAGTAGCAGGTGCAGCTGCTGATGCAGTAGCGGGTGCAGCTGCTAATACAGTAGCGGGTGCAGCTGCTAATACAGTAGCGGGCGCAGCTGCTAATACAGTAGCGGGCGCAGCTGCTAATACAGTAGCGGGCGCAGCTGCTAATACAGTAGCGGGCGCAGTTGCTAATACAGTAGCGAGCGCAGTTGCTAATACAGTAGCAGGCGCAGCCGCTAATACAGTAGCGGGCGCAGCCGCTAATACAGTAGCGGGCGCAGCCGCTAATACAGTAGCGGGCGCAGCTGCTAATACAGTAGCGAGCGCAGCTGCTAATACAGTAGCGAGCGCAGCTGCTAATACAGTAACAGGCGCAGCTGCTAATACAGTAGCAGGTGCAGCCGCTAATACAGTAGCGGGTGCAGCCGCTAATACAGTAGCGGGTGCAGCCGCTAATACAGTAGCGGGTGCAGCCGCTGATACAGTAGCGGGTGCAGCTGCTGATGCAGTAGCGGGTGCAGCCGCTAATACAGTAGCGGGTGCAGCTGCTAATACAGTAGCGGGTGCAGCCGCTAATACAGTAGCGGGTGCAGCTGCTAATACAGTAGCGGGTGCAGCTGCTGATGCAATAGCGGGTGCAGCCGCTAATACAGTAGCGGGTGCAGCTGCTAATACAGTAGCGGGTGCAGCTGCTGATGCAGTAGCGGGTGCAGCTGCTAATACAGTAGCGGGTGCAGCTGCTAATACAGTAGCGGGCGCAGCTGCTAATACAGTAGCGAGCGCAGCTGCTAATACAGTAGCGAGCGCAGCTGCTAATACAGTAGCAGGCGCAGCCGCTAATACAGTAGCGGGCGCAGCCGCTAATACAGTAGCGGGCGCAGCCGCTAATACAGTGGCGGGCGCAGCCGCTAATACAGTAGCGGGCGCAGCCGCTAATACAGTAGCGGGCGCAGCCGCTAATACAGTAGCGGGCGCCGCCGCTAATACAGTAGCGGGCGCGGCCGCTAATACAGTAGCGGGCGCGGCCGCTAATACAGTAGCGGGCGCGGCCGCTAATACAGTAGCGGGCGCAGCCGCTAATACAGTAGCGGGCGCGGCCGCTAATACAGTAGCGGGTGCGGCCGCTAATACAGTAGCGGGTGCGGCTGCTAATTTAGTAGCAGGTGCAGCTGCTAATACAGTAGCGGGTGCAGCTGCTAATACAGTAGCGGGTACAGCTGCTAATACAGTAGCGGGTGCAGCTGCTAATACAGTAGCGGGTGCAGCTGCTAATTTAGTAGCAGGTGCAGCTGCTAATACAGTAGCGGGTGTAGCTGCTAATACAGTAGCGGGTGCAGCTGCTAATACAGTAGCGGGCGCAGCCGCTAATACAGTAGCGGGCGCAGCCGCTAATACAGTAGCGGGCGCGGCCGCTAATATAGTAGCGGGCGCGGCCGCTAATACAGTAGCGGGTGCGGCCGCTACTGTATTAGCAGCTGCACCTGCTACTAAATTAGCAGCTGCACCTGCTAATACATTAGCAGGTGCAGCTGCTAATACAGTAGCAGGTGCGGGTGCTAATACAGTAGCAGGTGCAGCTGCATAATTTTGCAATAAAAATGTTATGTTGTAATGGAATTCATGCATTAGTTTTTGTTTGCTTTGAACCCAGAGCAGACGTCACACGCCAGACATCAACACTGCATACTTTAGTATTTGTTCATTTATCGTGAGTAATATCGATATCGCAATATTAAGCACTGTTATCGAATATCGCAGCTTTTCCTAATATCGTGCAGCCCTACTGTTAGGTTGATTGGTCTGTCTAAATGGTCCTTAGGTGTGTGTGTGCGGTCATTTGTCCTGTGTGTCTCTGTGTTGCCCTGTGATGGACTGGCTCTCTGTCCAGGGTGTACCCTGCCTGATTGCCCGTTGACACCCCCCCCCGCGACCCTGCGTGGACGAAGCGGGTTCAGAAAATGGATGGATTGATGGATGGATTTAATCATGTTGGGATTTTGATCTGGTTTTCTCTGTGAGGCACTTTGGGATTTGTCTTCACTTACTCTCTGTCTCTTTCTCAGGGGGGAGATGGGAGCGTCCAAAAGTGCATCTAAAGGTTTCTGGGAAGACGTGGGAGGAGCAGGTGAGCAGCCTTTGTGATGAGGTGTTCCCGCAGGCTGGCTTTGAGGTGGAGGCAGTGACCCGAGTCCCGTACCTCTGTGAAGGAGACATGTATAATGACTACTATGTACTCGATGATGCGGTGTTTGTTCTGAAGGCCGCAGGAGGTGCTGAAGATCCTGCTGCTTGAACAGCTGCATCATCTTGGACTTTCCACTGTAACAACTGGATCCTTTTTCTTTATGGGTGTCTTTATTTTGGTTTTTAGATTTTTGATCATGGATGTGTGGGTGGAGGGACGTTGGTTGAAGGTTGTGTATTTTAGTTTTAAACCATGGCATCCAGTAGTGAATGCACTGCCTGGCCAAAAAAAGTCACCACAAAAAAAAAAAGGTCACACTCCAATATCTTGTTGGACCACTTTTAGCTTTTATTATGACACACGTTCGCTGTGGCGTTGTTTCGATAAGCTTCTGCAACATCGCCAGAATTATTTCCATCCATCTTGAGTCTGACCGCTGCACAAAGCCTTCTCCAGCACATCCCACAGACTCCTAATGGGATTAGTGTCTGGACTCTGGGGTGGCCAACCCATGTGTGAAAATGATGTCTCATGCTTCCTGAACCACTCTCTCTATCTGAGCCCGATTAATCTAGGCACTGCCATCAGGGAAGATACCATACCATACCAACTATATTCCTATAGCACAATTTAAAATGCAGCGTGAGAGCTGACCAAAGTGCTGAACAGGCAGGATCAACTAAAGAAAAAGACCAAAGCAATAAGGATCTAAACAAGGCATCGATAGCAGGTAAAAGCGGTAGGAACAGTAGATAAAACACAACAGTAGAAACACTAAAACGAGTCACTGTCTGAAAGCCAAGTCATGAAAGTGGGTCTTTAAACGAGATTTACAAACAGGCAAAGAGGAAGCCTGCCTAACTGTAACAGGCAGTGAGTTCCAGAGCGTGGGGGCAGCATGGGCAAACGCACGTTCATCCCGTGATTTGTAGCGCATCTGGGGAGTGCAGAGAAGCAGGTCAGGTGACCTCAACATGCGTATAGGTAAATAGGGGGTGAGCAGGTTGGACAGATAGGGAGGTGCTAGATCAAGTAAAGCTCAAAAAACAAACATCAGTATTTCAAAACGTACACGAGAAGTGTTGGGGAGCCAGTGGAGACGTGCCAGGACTGAGGTCATATGGCTACATTGGCTTGTGTTTGTTACTAACCTAGCAGCAGCGTTTTGGACGACCTGCAGCCAGTTCAGGGCAGAGACTCGAGTACCTCAAAGTAGTGCGTTTGCATTGTCCCAACGAGAGGTGATGAAGGCATGGATGATTAATTCCAAGTGCCACCGCTTCAGGACGAGTTAGACGGCGTAACTGATAAACTCAGTGGCGAGGTCTTGATTTTTATCTGAGGGATCATTGAGAGGTTGGCTTCCAATGTTACCCCGAGGTTATTACACACTGCTCAGGATTTAGAGGTAAACAATCTAAAGCAGAGTGAGAGCCAGAAGGATTGCGGGTGTCAGAGACCATGGACTCAGTCTTTAACTCATTTAACTTTAGAAAACTGGCAGCCAGCCACCTCTTTATGTCTGCCAATCATGCCGAAAAACGGGAACCCAAGTTTTTCTCGTTCAGTGCCACAATCCTCGACGTAGATGTGATAATTCACGCTGTACCGATTTAGGATTTTGCCCAGTGGTAGGAGATATATAGAAAAAAGAGGCCCAAGAGCGGAGCCCTGCAGCACACCCCAAGGCAGTGGGAGACGGGAGGAGGAACGTTCACCAATCTGAACAGTAGTGGATCTGTTGGATAAATAGGAGCAAAACCATTTAACCCCTGAGGCATTTTCTCGTACCACGAGTTCCTCCTTCGTGTTGACGATTCCCCAAAAGTAGAACGTACAACTGATTAATAAATGAAAATAATTTCAGTAAATCTCAACGCTGAACCACGTCTCACTCCCTGCCTGGCTCAGGTGAGCTCTTTAACTTTAACAATCCTCATGCAGGGTCCAGACCCCACGTGGAAACTTTCTGGAGCTCAGCATCTGGATCAGCACCACAGCTGGAGTAAATGTTCTGCATGGACTCGATGATTTCTGATCCATGTGAAACTGGACCGCATCCATTCTGCATTCAGTGTGAACGAGGCTTCAGGCGCTCTCTCAGTCGCAGCTGCAGCCCTGCTCTGGTTTTCCTTCACAGTGTGTCTTAACCCTGGTCCTCAGCTCCCCCGTCCTACATGTTTTAGGTGTTTCCCTGCTGCCACACACCTGATCTAAAGGTATGGGTCATATGGCCTAAAATCTACATAACAAAATATTGTTTTCATGTATTTATATTTGTCAGAATTACAATTATGAGGCATTGAATGCCATTTAAAGAACATTTAACGTTTAAAACGTGTTTTAAAATCTACAAAACTTCGGAAGTTGTTATGATTCATTTTCCAGACACAAAAATCCTCATAAAAGGAATAAAGATGAAGCTATTTAAACAAAGTAAGAGCTAAATGTGATGAAAACACAAAACTTTACATAATTTGAAGTGAAAAATGTAAAGTCAGAAATAACATTCGTTGTTCTGCGTACCCCCTGTAATGTGCTCACAGACCACTAGGGGGACGCATGCCGGTGGTTGGGAACCATTGGTTTCCACCAGATGTGTCTTTCCACGTGGTTGTTTAGGAGACGAGAAGCGGCTCGTTGCACCAGTTGGGTAAATGAGTTGCTGCAGCTAAAAGATAATGGCCCGGCAGCAGTTATCCAATAGGAGGCTCCCACCTGTCTGCTCAGGTAAATCCAGGTGGAGACTTTTTCTGCGGGCCGGCAGTGTGTGATGATTCTGTAACAGCTCAGATTCTTGTGCTAAATGAATCGTGAACTGTTGGTCATCTCTTTCAACACGTCGTCATGTACTTGGATGGGTTCCTGAGCCGGTTCTGAAGCATGTTAGCCGTGTTAGCTGTTATTATCTAACAGCTGTAATTATGGGATGGAAACTCCAGGTCAGATCTTTACAGGTGAGCTGTAGGTTTGATCGTGGACCTGTTTGGACTTGACTCCTCTCAGCTGTATCTGGTACTTATCAGCAGCAGGTTCTCGGTCCTGGGAGCTGGACTTGGAATCAAACTTGTTTAGCAGAAATGTTCGTGTGACTGACATTTAAAAGTAACTCTCAAGACTCTGTTTTGTGTTTCTCAACCCAGTGGTGTGTGTTTTCCTGTTGGAAGTACCAGCTCTAAGAAGGGGAACCATCCCTAAAGTGTAGGGAGGGTCAGAACCCTAACACGTGCAGCAGTCCGAAGCCCCGCCCTGTTTTTGTGTCATAGGCCTACCTGCTGGGAAGTCTTGAGCTGACAGGCTTGTTCCGATGGTAGAGATAGGCTCAGTACCCCGATGTCTATGTTCTGACACCCTTCCAATGGAGCACACCTGGATCCGGTTATGCTGTATAAATGTTAGAGCAACAGCTCTTCAGTTGGAGCACAGACTAGTCTTTCATCAGACAACGTTGGATGCTCCTGGCTGGACCACCCTCTGATAGGTTCTTACCACTTCAGACCAAAAACATCCCTCACCATCAGCAGTGGTATGCCTCATGCTAACTATCGGTTAGCCGCTGGGCTCTCTCACCTTCACCTGGCTATCAGAGCCCGACTCTTGTGTGACATATGGGGTTCTGAACATGTTACCTTGTTTTCTCAGGTTTTTACCTTCATGTCAGAAGATGCTTTGAATGCACAAAGAAAACAAATAAATGTGTTTTGACCTTTGACGTGTTCAGTGCTTTGCTCAACCTCATGTTTATGCATTAAAGTTCATCCAGGGACCATTAATCTTCATGCTCACAGTGTCATGGCTAATTGAATCATTTTTGTGTTGAATGGTTCCCACCACCAGCCAACCATGATGCCCCCACACATCCCTTCTCCCAGGTCACCTCTCTCCATCGGACTCGATGACCTGTGGCCCTCCAGCCACCAGTGTGTGAGACGTATTTGCAGATGACACCACCCTCATTAGTCTCCTCTCAGACGGGGACGAGTCTGTCTACTGGAGGGAGGTGGAACCACTGGCATCCTGGTGCAGCCACAACAACCTGGAGCTGAGCGCCCAGAAGACAGTGGAGATGATTGTGGACTTCAAGAGGGTGTTGGCTCCATTAACCCTGAAGGAAACCCCCATCTCAACTATGGACTCTCACTGCTTTCTTGGTACCACCATCACCCATGAAGTCAAATGGGAGATGTCCATCATCAGGCAGGCCCAGAACCTCGCACCACTAAAATAGCTTCTTCCCCTCAGCTGTAGGACTTCTGAACACCAAATAACCGTTATAACCATACAGCAGTCGCTTTACATCTATTATTTGTCATCTTTTTCATCTATTTTTCAATGTTTGCACCATTCCACCAAAGCAAACTCCAAGTAACGTGAGACTCCCCCCTACCTGGCAATAAAACTCCATTCTGATTTGGAAATGTGAGTTATGAATGTTTGTTACTGGAAGACCAGATGACCGGCTCTCCACAGTCTCACAGGTAACTGGCCACACTGGTTATGACATCATCCAAAACAGTAACGCTTTCATAGAGCTTCCTGTTGGCTGAAGAGGGACTTTTCCCTCTCTTCCCATTTTACCCTTTGACTTGTTCAGTATCACGGGGAGCTGGAGCCCAAATCCAGGGTCACTGCAGGAGAGGCAAGGTTACACCAGTCCATCACGCACCTCTGAGCCAATTTAGAGTTTCCAGGGTGTGTGTGTGTGTGTGTGTAAATATTCCATTTCCACACAGGTACAGCCAGCTGTTGAACTAGTGGGATGTAAACGTTTGGGCAGTCTTATTAACCTTCATGATTTTCCTGTAAATCATTGATTATTATGATAAAATGTCCAGTTAAACATATCATGTAGGAGACCCACGCGGTGATGTTTGAGATGTGAAACCAAGTTTTTAGGATTTACAGAAACAGTGCAATAATTGTTAAAACAGTATTAGGCAGATGCATAAATTTGGTGTTTAGCACCAGGTGGTTGTGGCTGCACCAGGAGAGGAGTCCAGTGACGGTGGTGTCGTCTGCAAACTTGATAAGCTTGACAGTCGTGGTTGGAGGTGCAGCTGTTGGTGTACAAGGAGAAGATCGAAGGGGGGGAAACAGCCCTGAGGGGAACCGGATGGTCCGCAGGTCCGAGACTTTCTTCCCCAGCCTAACTTGTTGCTTCCCGTTTGTCAGGAAGTCAGTGATCCACCTGCAGACGGGGCCAGGCACGTTCATCTGTGACAGTTTCCTCTTTCCTGTTCACTCTTTTTCTTTACATTTTTTAATCACAATTGTCTATTTTTTCTTATTTTAGACATATTTTTAATCATTTTCTAAACAATTTTTTATATTTTAAAAGAGTTGTTTTTGTGATTTTTATGTTGAGAGGCGCTAAAAAAAAAGATTGTTTCTTCTTCTTCTTCTGGAGGAGGTCTGGCAGTCTCGGTACGCTAGGAACCACAACGCAGGTAGTAAAAAGTTGAGGGGAAAACCCTGAACTGTGCAGCTGGGAAAAGCTGTTCAACCCATCCACTCATTGGAAAAAGGACATAATATCACACAGCTGCATTTAAAGTGACATTTCCTAATTCACAACTAAAATTCTTCATTTGTTCCTTGACTTTCATTTTTCCATTCAACTAAAAGAGACTCGGCCCGACTGTTGGTTTACATCAGGAACATGAATGACTCTAAAGCCTCTTTCACACAGAGTCCAGAGGGGATGCGACCTGGAACCTGTGCAGCCTCCAGCGGACTGCCATGTCCACCGGATCATGTGCAGGACATCTCCACACCATTGCTCTGATGATTCCCTGTCAGTAGAAACAGAAGAAGCCGACAGGTTTTTCTTTTCCAGATGAACCAGATGCACATCACTGCCACATGGATCACTGTCTATCTGGCTCACTAAACGTTTTGTTTAAAATAATTAGAGTTACCTCTAACACCAAACGTATCCAGTCACTAGCTGAGAGAGCCGAGTCTGAAGAGGTTGGGTCGGGTTCTGGAAGTCCACAGAGTTCGGTCGGATTGATGGTGGTGCTGGGCCACTGTGCTTTTCAAGTTGAGCAAATCAAAAATCTTAAACCAAATCATGAAAGCACCAACCTATTATTAGTCATCACCAATGAACTAGGATTCGTGACTGAAAGGGTGCCAACACCTTTAATTACACCTCCAACATGTCCGCCCTCCTGTGAAGGGTGTTCTGCTGCCCTGAAAACAGCAAAGAGGAACTGTAACTTTTATCTGCTGAACAATTATAAAAACAAGGGAAGCAGCACTGGTGATGCTCCAGGAATCAGGAAGGGTAAACCTTAATGAAGCTCGAATATGCTGAGAAGTTCATCCCAAATAAAATACGCAAAGCCACACATAGTTTATTCAAATCTAAAAGTAATATACTTAAGTAAGATGCTGTGTTTACTACTAATGCGTATACAAACAATTAGGTCCATTCCTAAATATTAATACAAGTATTTGTATTAAACTTATACAAGTTTAATACAAATACTAGATTATCTGATATGACTGGCAGATTCTGGAAATAACTTAGTAAACGTTTGTAACGTTTGTTTTATTTTTGAAGCAGGAAGTCGTTCCTTATGTTTGTATTCGTGCAAATAAATTCCGATACGCCGATTGGTCCAGACTCGAGCGTTTACCTATCCCGCTACGCCGATTGGTCCAGACTCGAGCGTGTCACGTTTGCGTTGGACTCCGTAACGTCAGCCACGTCGCTCTTTACTCGCCATTTTCCGTCATCTGAGGCTGGAACCGGACAGTTCGAGTATTCAGGAGTAACAGAGGACCGACTCGCCGGGGAAGGCGCTTCCTACAACATGAACATATTCAGGCTAACCGGAGATCTGTCCCACCTTGCAGCTATTATCATTTTGCTGCTAAAGATATGGAAAAGCAGGTCTTGTGCCGGTGAGTAGAGGTTCGCTGGGACTGAAGTTCACACCTGCCGTTTTCCGGTCCTGTGGGACGGACAGGGACGGGTTCGGCAACGAGACAGCGAACCTGCTAACCCAGGTGTTAGCATAGGGAGCCTTCCCCGGAAGAACGACAAGACGATGCAAGTCAACGGGGCTAAACGCTACCTTCTGACCCGCTTTGCCCCTTTTCCCTCAGTGTTCTCCGTCTCTGGTTCGATGACGTCACTTTCGTGAAGCGCTTTTGTAGTTCTGGACTTATTTTCACACAACACCTAAAATATCGTTCCCCCCCGTTCGAAAATAAGCGCGTTCTTGGTGTCAAAATGCTTCTTCAAAAGTCACGGACATCATATGTGAAATCCATGGCACGCAACAAGCGGAATTAGAAACTAGCGTTTTTAGCCCCGTTGACTTGCGTTCATTTTCGTTTTTGTGGGGAGCGTTATTTCTAATCCTAGAACGTCCAAGGAAGGTCCCGCCTTTCTCGCCTCTGATTGGCTGGAAGGCCTCTCCTACGATTGGCTATTTCGTGTAAGCGGAAGCAGTTTTCCCTCGCTGTAGGTTTTGTGTTTACAGCCAGATCTTGAGGAGTTTTTTGAAGAAAATTTGACTTCGTTGCCATAACAACCATACTTTCTTGTTTAGCAACAAACCCGTTTCTGTTTATTTCATAAAAGAACCTGAAACACGTCAAATGTGAACTTGTAATAATTCTTGTTGTATTTTATCACACTGTAGACTGACTTTACAACACACACGCAAACACACACGCAAACACACACAGTTCACTTGAAATAAATCACGAAAACGTTTACTGTTCGGGGAGTCAGACAGAAACGTCTTCCAAGTGGACCCAGAGAAGGTGGCATCCATGATGTCCCACTCCACATGTGCTGCACCTTATTCCTGCAGGGATCCGTAGTTTTATACTTAACGCTCATCAGAACCTCTACCCAGCGATCAGCGATGCACGAAAACCAAGTAAAACTTCTAAAGACAATCATCTTTATTTGCCGCTCCGCTCCGTGCCCCTGCACAGGGTCAGGGATGAGTAACCATTAGTATTGTGACATGACGAGAAACCAGCCGTACCTCTGAGCGGTAACGGGATCTGGGAGGCTCATTCCACTCCAGCTGCAGCTCAGATCTTCTACCCTCAGATTAGTCCCAGAATGTGAAAGCTGCAGTTGTAGGAGTGGGTCCCAGATGTCTCGGCTCCACCAGCCAGAGCATCGTCAGCGCCTGCTAGACTGGAAGTAACCAGTCAACCAGGGATGAACCACCAGTACCAAGGAAAATGGCAGAATTGTAGCCATTGATTGGGCTGCATGTCAGGTGAGTGAGGTCCAGACCTCTGCAGGGGTGAAGCAGGCGGGCAGCTCTGCTGTGAACATTGCGGGTAAAGATCTCACGAGCATGTTTCATCCTGTGACTCCCGAGAGGAACCTCTTCTGTCCGCTTGATGCTCTGTTGTTTCCTGACAGGTATTTCTGGAAAGAGTCAGGTTCTGTTTGCCTTGGTGTTCACCACTCGATACCTGGACCTGCTCACGTCCTTCATCTCCCTCTACAACACCACCATGAAGGTGAATCCTTGTGTTCCCATCCAGTCCAAGTCCACCAAACTCCCACGCCTGTTTGCTGAAGGCCGGCACGGCGCCGGGCTCGTTTGTCCTCATCCTGGTGTCGTGCTGTTTGTGTTGAACTGACAGACCTACTTCTGGGTTTTAGGTCATCTACATCGGATGCTCGTACGCCACCGTGTACCTTATCTACATGAAGCTCAAGGCCACGTACGACGGGAACCACGACACCTTCAGAGTGGAGTTCCTCATCGTCCCTGTGGGGGGGCTGGCCTTCCTGGTTAACCATGACTTCTCTCCCTTGGAGGTCAGAAGCTTAATGTCAGGATTAACCTGCCTTCTCTTTAGGAGTTTGGTTGGTCTGGTAGTTGGTCTCTAAGCATCGCTCTGTTCCCCAGATCCTGTGGACATTTTCCATCTATCTGGAGTCGGTGGCTATTCTCCCCCAGCTGTTTATGATCAGTAAAACGGGCGAGGCCGAGACCATCACCACCCACTACCTGTTCTTCCTGGGACTCTACAGAGCGCTCTACCTCATCAACTGGATATGGAGGTTCTACTTTGAGGGCTTCTTTGATATGATCGCCATTGTGGCAGGAGTGGTTCAGACCATTCTCTACTGCGACTTCTTCTACTTGTATGTAACAAAAGGTGAGGCACTCTGGAAGCCCACGTACCAGCCCCGCAGTGCTGCTCGTGGGAACCATGTTCATGTTTCTACTAGGGATGCACCGATGGATCGGCATTTGATCCCAATCGGCCGATAGCGCCCCTATCGGTTTTGATCGGAGTTTTCAAAATAGATCAAAGCAGACCGATCAGGTAGGGTTGTCACGGTAACCGGTGCAGCGGTAAACCCCGGTAAAAAAGTTGACAATAATAATAACCGTCTTGTTTTTAAAAAAAACTATATTATCTCGGTGGATTACCGTGGCTGCGGTGTAGGCGCGGTGACCCTTACCAGCCACCGTATCATCTGCAGAAGTTGCCGGCGGCACATGCGCACTTTGTTGTTTACAACAAAACTTTCTTGAAGCTAAAGCTGAAATAATGGCCAGAGGAGGAGACGGCAGCGCTCAGGACATTTATTATCCCTCAAAGAAGACAAAGTGGGAAGTACGGACATTTTTTGGATATCTGAAGAATGCCGAGGGACAGCTGATAGAAGACGGCTATCCTGTTTGCAGCACGTGCAGAAAAAGTGTCTGTGAAAGGCAGCAACGCTTCAAATCTCATGACACATCTGCGTGACCATCACCCACAACTCTACAGTCAAAGCAAGGCAAGCTAACGTTAGCGTTTTAGCTAAAATGCGTGATCCGAGGATTTGGGTCAAGGGAGAAAGCAACGAGTCGCTATATAAAGCAGCCGCAGCGCCGCTACCTGCATATAAACCGTGTCGCGGACACCGCCATGTTGAAATGATGCTATGCATTACGGGGCTCCCAGGGGCAGATAAGAGTTGGTCTCTCTCCGAGAATAATTATGAATTTAACAATGATTACTGCTTGATGACATTTTCCCACATCTGCAAAGCTCACTGGAAGGACACAAACCGAGGACAATACTTTCCTGATATAGGGTTTATTACTCAAGTAAGGGTACAAAAGTATCTGATTAGAAGGCTACTTGAGTACTGAGTATCATCTGGTCTAATATTTTTAAATGATGACATCAAACAGACATAAAATAAGAAGTTATGGGCAAATATTGGTATTTTAAAGACTAAAGGGGGAAAATGTAAACAAATAAACAACAGAATTACAAAATAACACATTTTAGGCAAAATTTAGACACAAACTGAGGACAATAATTCCTGACATACAGGGTTTATGTAGTTGTGTGAAAATGTAACATGTTTAAAAAAAATACCGCGATAATACCGAAAACCGTGATAATTTTGGTCACAATAACCGTGAGGTTAGATTTTCACACCGTGACAACCCTAATACGGACCATTTTAGATTAGGTTACATTTCCTTTATTCCCAGATTATGTAGTTTGTAGCACTCATTATAATGTTGTAGAAAATTTCTGGCCAATCCACGTGATCGGTATCGGTGATCAGCATTCTTTGATATCGGTGATCGGCAGCAAGAAACCGGATCGTGCATCCCTAGTTTCTACAGGTTTTTTCCTCTGGTGGTTGGGCAGTGGTGAGAAATCCCTGGACTCGCGTTGAAGCCTTGGTTGTGGTTCCTCGTGCATCTTTAACCAGTTGCATCATTGGCGGTTCATTGAGCTGCGTGTCCAGACACGAAAATCCCTCACCCTTCAGCCAAATTCTCTTGTTTTGAATCCAGAATGGGTCACCTGTGATTGGTGGAGATCCCATGAGAAAGTCTTTGGAGGGGGGGTGATGGTTTTCTACATGACAGCGAGGGTTTCACAGATTATCCAGTTCGACTATTCAGAGACGTCATCAGCTGAGCTGAGAACTCTGAACGAGAGAAGAGTCTAAGAGAATATCGTGCTGCCGTGTCGGCCCGTAAACGACGTTTCAGGAGCCGGGGTGGCTTCATCTTCAGTTGGGAGGAGACCTTGGTTTACCTTTGAGTTGGATGGTCTTTCTTGGCTTTATCTGCTCCTCCTCAAAGACATGAGGACAAATTAAAAGTCAAAATGTCCCCAAGGGACAGGAAGTGGAAGTGATCCATCAGCTAGCTCCTAGATCGGCCCACAGCCTCCTGCTGATGTTATCAGCTAGTATAAAGTAAACATCCAGCATTCTATTGGAGGTTCGGGATTCTCTTTAGTCTTCAGCAGCTGCGCCTGGTTCAGGCGGGAGCGTTTCTGAAATGAGATCATTGGGTTCAAATAAAGCAACAAACTTGTACATTGATTGTTTTTTGCAAGTTACAAAATGAAAGTTTCATGTTACGTACCGAATGTTACGTGTTACAAAATGAAAGGTACAAGTCACAAAACAAGGTACAAGTTCCAAAACATGTTACAAGTTACAAAACAAGGTACAAGTTCCAAAACATGTTACAAGTTACAAAACATGTTACAAGTTACAAAACAAGGTACAAGTTCCAAAACATGTTACAAGTTACAAAACAAGGTACAAGTTCCAAAACATGTTACAAGTTACAAAACATGTTACAAGTTACAAAACAAGGTACAAGTTACAAAACAAGGTACAAGTTACAAAACATGGTACAAGTTACAAAACAAGGTACAAGTTACATTAGGGCTGTCGCGGTTGAGGAATTCCTTTTGCGGTGATTCAGGGTGGCTTAATATTGCGGTATGCGATATTATTGCAGTCCTTTTTTTTATTGCAGTACTATCTAAACATAATGTTTACACATTTAAAAAAGGTTAAAAATTGCCGTGCCTTCTTTTATAACACTTTACTGAATGCAGATCAAAGGGCAGTAACCACACAGATCGCAGTAACGTTTGTTTGTCCGACAGTCGGAGTCCGACTGAACTTAAAAACAACAAAATTCAGGAGGTTAAACTTTTAAATGCAAATTTGGCTGCAGCATCTAACAAATAAGAAACAAGTCCCCATTTTGTTTAGTTGTTTAAAATCAAGCATAAAAAATTACATGTACCGGGCGCGCGCGCGCCGGGGGGCGGGCGCACTATCATTTCACTTTCACACACACGAATGATGGTGATTTATAGCTCGGTCACGTCCTTGTTACCTACAAGGAAAACCAGCATGTTAACCATATACGGTTTGAGAGAGGATCTGAGAGGGGTGGCAACATTTCCAGCAACACTGAAAACCCTCTCGGATGGTGCGCTCGTTGCACTTACCCCAAATTCCACTACCTCCGCTCCCCTTCGCTCCGGTCCGGCCCCGCTCGCTTCCGAACTCAACTTGCGTGCGACTCTGGCGAGCAAAGGGAATCTCTCCCGGTTGTTGCTCCACCATGTCAGGGGGGTTCTTTAGGGTGGATGCATTCCTCCTGCAGGTAGCGAGTGAGCTCCAGCTCGGCTCAAACTCTCTTCGGGACGGTTGCAGAAGCAGTGCTTGTCCGGGACTTCAGCAGGTCTCCGAGCGTTTATTATTATTATTATTTTTTTTTGCCGCTGGTGGCAGCTCCGTCTCGGCCAAGGACTCTGGCTGCGCAGCAGCTGACGTACTGAAAACCAAAGCGCTCCCAAAGGAGCGAAGTAACTTTTCGTTTTGATACCAGTGCAGCCATCCTTCTCAACATGCATCATTGAGTTGAACCAAGTTCAGTAATCGCGGTGGACCATGATGCAGCGCGGTGGGCGTCTTCATATTGCGATATTTCATTTTTGCGGTTACCGCGACAGCCCTAAGTTACATGTAATATTGTCCCAATCCTCGTTTCATACTGGTGGAGGAGACAGCAGCAGGAGCATTAGGAGAACGGATATTAGAGAGAAAATGTGAGCGGTCTGTTCATTGTTGATGAAGCACTTCATCCAGTAACGGCTGACGCAGCTTATGAAGAGGAGCGTTCACTCCGATGAAGATGTTCAGTTGTCTGGTTTAATGTTTGTAAGTGGTCACAATAAACTGACAATGAAATATGAAAGGTATCCATCAAAGTATGATGTTCCATAAATATATGAATCACTAATATTACTGGACCATTAATATCAGCTTGACTCTGGAAATGGGTACTTTGGGTAGCCAGGGAACCAACACTTATCAATAATTTGACTGTAATGACTTTTTATGCCTGTCATCGACTAGTCGCTGTCACGTGATAATGACCGGCAAGATGAAGTCCTCGGAAAAGACAGCAGCCTGCTGTCAGCAGGTGACGAGCTCCTGCGCTTCGGGAGGCAACGTGCTGTGCCAGAGCGTCGGTACTGACACCCGCCGTAAAACGGACATTTAACCAAATTGTGACCTTTACCCTCTTGCAATTTAACCTTCCCCTCACCCCCATCCTAACCTTAACCAGCGTGTGCATGCAAAGCTCTGATTGTTGACGCGCTCCAGACATCTGCGTCCTGAGCACGGCCACAGTAACATTATCAAATCAGGTGTCGCCATCTCAAAAACTTAATTTAACACGCGATCGTTCATGTCGGCTCATTTCCTTTTATGTTTTCTGTCTTTTATTCTTTTATTTGTGCCTGATGCGTTTTGCTGCTGTGGAGCGGGGCGCATCACCTGTTTTGTCCTCCGGTGACGCACCTGACTGATACGGCCGGCGAGCGCTCCGCTGTTTTAGCGGTCGGTAGATCTTTTAGAACTGCAGTTCAAAGGTAACTCATGAGGTGAATATATATGAACCCAGGTAGCAGTTTCTCTTTAGGATTGAGAGGAGATGCAGGAAGATAATAAACAGGCAGGACAGAAAAATAGTCAAATAAAAACAAGTTAGTTTTTGTACCTGCTGGTTGCAACAAACAGACACCATTGAAGGTAATCAGAAGTGAGGAACAGAAAATGAAATAATTATTTTAATGTTTAGAGCAGCAGGAACTCTGAGAGGCTGCAGGCGCATCAGTGAGTTTGCGGCCGCTGCGCAGGGGGAGGGGGGAGAGGGCTGAAGCAGGGGGAGGGGGGAGAGGGCTGAAGCAGGGGGAGGGGGGAGAGAGCTGAAGTAGAAACTACCATTGTTAAAAGAAATGTGTTTAACTTTGAAAATGTGGGCGCAATTTTAACTGTCAAAAACTCCAGCAACCCCCCCCCCCGTGTGTAAAAAAAAAAAAAAACGCTTGGTTACCCATCGTCAGTTTTAGCCGCTGCAGGTGTATGACGTCATCAACAACTAGTCGACTCGATTTTCATTACTTGACGGTCGACTTTAAAAGAAATAAACTCATGCAGCCTCTATTTATATATGAAACTTTATTCTGATTGGCTTAATGATCTGACCTGGATTGGAGTGTTTATTATGTGAAGTGGCTTTAGACGACTCTTGTCGTGATTTGGCGCTTTATAAATAAACTTGAATTGATTTGAAAATTAAAGACGCCTTTTCCTCACAGTAGAAATGCAGCCGACTTGCAGGAGGTGTTGAGTGAGAATGTTCTAACTTCTTGCAGGAGCAATAACCACGACAGAGGCATATTTGGATTTGGGTGTCCAAACAGACGGTGTTGTCCTGTCTGCAAATGAAGGTTATGTTGTGGTCAGTTAGATGGTGAGAAATGGACCACTTGGTACGTTACATTTGTTAATCTACTAAAATGAAATGTGACATGACTGATTATAAAAGCATCAAGTAGATTTGTTTGGTGTATTTAAGATATGAAATAATGCATTTCAACAATAAACAGTACGATTCATCATTACTGTAAAGCAACCAAGGGTTAGGGTTGTAATTGATCTGTAAAGTGAGAAGGAAACGGTTCCTGCGTTGTTCTTCGTAGATGTTGTCAGATTCCATCGTGTGTGAGAAGTTTACCTGTCTGGGATGTTGTCAGTCTCACGTTTCACCTCCATTCTGTTTCAGTGCTGAAAGGCAAGAAGCTGAGCCTGCCTGCCTAAGTGCCAAAGAGACCTGAAGCCAGGATCCAGCAGGAAAGAAGGAACTGCACCCCCCCCAGTAAGATGCCTGAGACAGAAGCAGGCCTGGAGCCGTCGCGTCAGCTGCACCGGTCAACTCCGGACACCTGCAGAGGCTCAGCAGGGCTCCCGGGTTTCTGTTTGATACATCTTGCCTTAACTGTTGCATTGCTCTGGAGAGGAACAGGGGCGGTGCAGGGTCTGGAATTCGACACGACCAATAAGAACTGAAAATTTAGATATGGCTCTAAGTCAGTGGGGTGGACTTGATGTGGTGAGATGGTGTTGAGCGCCAGAGGAGCCATGGTTTCCTGAGTCACTGAGAATGAGTTGGCTGATAAATACGACACACACGTATTACACCTTCTACACACTGAGCTCCTTGTGCATCCACCATGTAGAGCATAGGAGTGATTAAGAAATCCAGCGTCATGAGGGGGTAATTGGTTCTGTTTGCCATAAAAGTTTTTAATAGTACTTTTTAGAAGTAATGAAGAATAAACAGTTAAGTGGACGAGTAAAGGCAGACTAGCATTAGTGTAAATGAACGCCCACTATCACCTGTAAATACACATTACCACGTGTTCATGGAGCAGGATTCAGTAACTCACTGGTCTCACTATACAGGCGTCTTCTTTTACCTTTTATTTAGTTGCTGCTGATTTCCAATAAACAATGTAAAACTTCTTGATTTTAACACCAAGGATCTCATTCTTAAACTGTCTTCATCATTTCCAGCAAAAACAATTTTCTCCCTTCTTTGTGTCAAGTTTGGGTGAAGTGCCTGCAAGTGTAGAAAAGAGAACAGCACTGATAGCATTCATGTTTCTGGATGGTTATAAAATAAAAACAGCACTGACACGTTATTACCGGTAATCTGCATGTTTAGAGGAAAAGAACAGCGCTGACTCAGCATTAATAAGCCCTGGATGATTAGAAAATAACAACTGCACACAAAACATGTCTGGTTAGTAAATAAAACACTCGCCTACCAGAAGAAGTCATTCGCTCTCATCTTCCTCCTGCACACTAAAGCCATTAAAGTCCTCTTCTTCAGTGTCGGAGTTGATCAGCCTCAGAAGAGCTTCGTCACGTACCTTTTCTGTGGCGATGTCAGTGTCGCTGTCCGTGTTGCTGTCATCATCCCCGGGTGAAGCTGGCTTGAACGAGTTCTTCCCGCTGCCGTCTCCAGCGCCGAACCTTGGATTCATTCATGCCAAGCTTACGTGCGGCAGCACTGTTTCCCTCCTTTACCGCCAGATCGATGGCCTTCAACTTAAATGCGGCATCATATGAACTCATACGTGTAGTTTCCATGATGAGGGGGTATGGATTTGAAAAACATTCTTCGTGGTGCCGGCTGCTTGCATGTGCTAAATTAAATGAGCACTTACTTCGATTTCCACTTTTGACTTCCACCTGTTTCACTTTCTGCTAAAGCGCCCCCTGCAGGTGAAGAAAAGCTTCAGTAAAGCCGCATGGTTCAAAGCGTGGGGAAAAAGTAGCGGCTTATAGTCCGGAAAATACGGTATATTTGGCACCACTGCCATTTTGACCATGTCGCACGTCCCGTCACACCCAGACAATTCAAAAATGGGAAAAGAGGTGGAGCTGAGAGTGGGGCTGTTACAGTTGGAACAAATGAACCAATGTTGCTACGTAGCTAGCCCAAGAAGCTGAGAAGGGCTTCGAGGACCGGGGTATCCCACCGGCACAGCAGACTGGCTTTGTGCAAGGCTGTAGTCATGCTGGTCGGCTGTGGAGGTCTAATATGGACCAGGACAAGCAGAGCAGAGTGCTGGGATCGTAGCCGGGCATTGTGGCCTTTTACATCAGCATTTGCTCCACGGTTGGAGATCAGCAGGACATTAGCTACATGCTAACCAGAAGCTAACAAGAGTTTTTCCTGGCATTTTTGGCAAGACAAACACAGTAGAGCGACTCCAATGTAAAGGCATCTCCATCCTGCTTAGTAACAAAATCATGACTAGGTAGGGCTAGGAGTGACGGTGCCACAGGAGTTAAGTGCTCGCCCCATAATCAGAAGGTTGCAGGCTCGAGCCCCGCTCAGTTTGTCACTGTCATTGTGTCCTTTGGCAAGACACTCAACCCCCTTGCCTGCTGGTGGTGGTCGGAGGGACCAGTGGTACCAGTGTTCGGCAGCCTCTTCTCTGTGAGAGCACATTCAACAGCAGCCTCATCCTGAGTGCCGGTGCCGATCCCCGCATATTTTTCACCTCCTGCTCCACAAACATGCACATAGGACCTTGGGGGGTGGGCTTCATTTCCGCATTCCTGTTGCAACCTGCCCCCCAATTTTATTTGCACCTTATACACGTCTACCGAAGAAATTCCACGCAAACACACACTTAGGGCCTTGGGAGTGAGCACATTCAACGGCACTTGGCAGGGGGATTTCTCAGCCTCCTCCCGAGTGCCGGTGCCCACTTCCATATTTAAACTGCACTTAGACACCGAGGGCTGTGGGTGCAAGTGGGGCGGTGCGGTGGCATCAGCTGGGATAGGCCAGACAATGCCCGCACTGCCCGCTCACCACAGCCATGGAATACACCTCATCAACACACAACACTATATTGGAGCAGGCGGAGGGAGACTAGGGGTCTTAGCACACCTCTGTTGTCACTTGGCTTCCTGGGGCTGGAGGCTAGGAGGGAGATCTGGCCATCTGGTTGGGGTCTGGGGTGGTGGGTTGCTGTGCTCAGCGGGGGGGGGGGGGGGGTGCCTGCTCATCAGCACCCCAGCAGAAAGGGTAACCGGTGATGGTTGTACCCAATGTGCAGCAGTACCGGGACCAGAGTGAATAGGGTGTGTATGGGGAGCATGAGTGGGTGTCCGGCGTGCATTTTTGTAAGTCTTGGGTTGTATGTGCATGTGTGAGCATGAGGGAGGGAGTGTGTGACTGTGTTTGTGTATGACTGTATATGTCAGGTGGGGCCTTTGACTCCTCCCCTCTCCTGGGACTTCTTTTTATGATATAGATCTTCGTCTCCCCTCTCCCTGCCACACCTGGTGTGGAGTGTGGTGCCTTGGTCTGCCTGAGTGTTCGTGGCTCCCGGGTCTGGGGGTTTAAGATCTTTGGCGTCTGCCTGGTCAATCCCGGTGGCTGCCTGGTGGGGTCTGGGTCCCTGGGCTCTGCTGGGTCCCCGGCGGGGGGTGGTCGCCCCTGGGTCCCAGATCGCTGGGTCCCGGGTTCTTCCGGCTAGGGGGTGGGAGGCTGCGGGCGGGCCTGTGGGCTTGCCGCTGAGATCTCCAGGGGCTCTGCCGGCTGCTGGTTGTGGCCCCCCGGGGCGACCCTCTGTCTCGAGGCGGGCGGGGGCCTTTCTGGTTGCAGTCTCCTTGGGGCTCCTGTGTTCTGGGGCAGCGCCTGGATCTCTGGGACTTGGAGCTCCCCCCATCTCCTACACATCTTTGAGGGGCGGATCTGTGGTCCCTCACACTCTCTGTTGGACGCTCCTATAGAGAAACCTTACATAAACAAGCGCGTGTACACACACAGGTGATCACACGGTGCTCTCAAAAGTATGGACTTGGGCACGTTCAACACAGGTCTTAAGGCTGTGGTTGGCACTAAATGCACTGTGTTTTATTATCGTGTGATTGTTCAGTTAAACAATGTTGATTTTATATTTCACCATCAGGCTGACGCAGTGATAGCTTGCTCCTGATGTATTGTTGTTGTGCCCCATTTATTTCTATTCTTTATCTTTCTGCAGGTCTAGAAGCAGACTTGTTATTGTTTATCTTTGTGGACCCTCACTCCTCAACTCTGCCACATGGACCCAAGGGATAAACCATCAACCCTGCTCAATGGTCAGCTTTCCTCGCGGGGTCACACCTGTTAGGACAGTAGGAGGGTTATATTAATGTTCCTATTTGAAAACAACTTGCAGCATAAGCATAAGAGGCTGTTGTTCACAGTGGAATACATCAGCCAGGTTCTTGCCATCTTACTAATGTCTTCCTGAAATATTGGTGATGGCAACTTCTTCCATCACTCTCATTCCTTGGAAAAACAAAGTCAGGTGACACCTTACTTGGTCCTCTTCGTACCAGCTGTCAGTCAGAGGTGAGGGCCAGTTAGCAGGGTCACTTGACAAAGGCTCATCCTCAGAAGTGGGGCTCAGTGGGGGTTCATCTCCAGTCATTTCTATTGACATATTGGCACATTACTCAAAGCACATAGCAATGGAACACATAGACATACTCAAATGATCAGAAACATTTAAATGACATAAAAGTGCAGTTGCCCAGTAAACTTGGAGTCTAGGTACCCTCTACACAAGTACACACACACACACACACACACACACACACCTGAAGGCTCATGGTGGGTAGAAAAAGAAGCAGCAAGGTCTTTCTCCTCACTATCAGATATTTTTGCAGATAACTCTGGAGACATAGTAGCTGAGGATGTAGATGGAAGCTCATCCTCAAGGGTCAAGGCTGTGACTGCTGTGGACGATTAGATAGATGGCAGGTATTGTCCAGCAGGGGAGGTGGGTGGCTCATCCTGACCAGTGGCAGATGATGATCCAAAATATTTTAGAATTTCCACTGAAATTTCAATTTAAACTGACATAAAAAATACTGTAGACTACCAGAAAGGCCACATTTTATTGCGGAACAAACCACATGAAAAATAGTCAGTGTAACAAATGCAATGAAGGAGCCACACTTCTGACAAATCTGTCCAAACAAGACTGGTCTGCTGCTAAAGATGTGAAATAAAACAACTAAATGAAGAATCTTATAAAAGCCTAAATGATATGTATTTAATCAATGTGTATTGTCCAGTTCCCTCTTTCCCATCTGATATTTATAGTTAATTAATATGTGTGTGTGTGTGTGTTTTCCACTTCAAACACTGGTCTAACCAACCAGACCAGCATGTCCAGTAACATATTAATGTTACAATTAAACAGTTACACTTCATGTAGGCTAGGAACATTTCACCTGCCGTGGCCCGACCGCTTCTGCTCCACATGAACTTTGTGCGTGATCAAATGTCTCTACGCATCATGCGTCTCCATATTAGAGACGGGAACAAGCACTGTTCAGCCAAAGTTTCATAATTTCATAAAAAGAACATTTTTCCAAGTGACACATCCCTCAGAGAGACCGGGTTTCCAGACTGTTTCAGTGGGAGGAAATCTTATCGCATGCGCCGTGGTTCTGCGCTGCGCTGCGAACCCCTCAGATCTTCATCCCACTGTCCACCGTGGGCGCTCCGAGCCGCGCTGAACACAGTGTCCAGTATAAAGCTCTGATGTTCTGATGGGAATATTTTACCTCCGCGATGTGAGTTAACGATTAAAATGTCAGCTCATCCATGCGCATCAGTGCGCGTCGGGGTAATTCTTTCAAACCAAGCAACATCCTTGAGTTCATCTGTCAAAATAAACAGTCAAACGGAAATATATGTAACCTGCCGTTTAACTGTTTTGCCTTCCTGTGAAGATTGTTGCAAAGAGAAACAATTAAACTTGATTAACCCCAGAGCCACGCAGAGAACCAGAGCGCATGTGGAAGGTTCCTCCCACTGAAGCGAGTGTTTTCCAAACCCGGTCTCTCAGAGAGACTTGTCACTTAGAAAATGTTCCCCGATTATGAAACTTTGGCTGAATAGTGCTTGTTCCTGTCTCCAATGTGGCGACACATCCAGGAGCCGTCTGAGGA